AAGAGGTGTGAACTCCAGAGAACACACTCTACATTTCATTATCTAAGCCTCCTGATGCGTCCGTCTCAGCTGTGAACCCAGGGCTTTGAGGCGGTTAACGAGTGGCAAAGGCAGTAAAAGCTGAAGCTGAATCCAGACAAGATGTAGACCAAGGTTCCCCAATGTGGTGCCCATGGGCGACATGACGCCCTCCAAGTTTTTCAGAAAGTGGGTGGAGCCGCTGGAAGGCAGGACTTGCCAGTGTGGTGTAGCGACTGAAGAGCCAGGCTACCACCTGGGAAACTCAGGTTTGAATCCCCACTCCTGCTGTGGAAGCTTCCATGGGACTCTCAGCCTAACCCTCTGGAGGTGGCCATTTTGGGTTTGGCTCCACCATAGGGTGGCCAGCCTCCGGGTGGGGCCTGGGGATCTTCTGCTTTTACAACTGACGTCCAACTGACAGAGATCAGCTCCCCTGGAGAAAATGGCTGCTTCGAAGGGGGGACATAAGAACAAAAAAAAATTGTGCATGCTGAGGGCCCCCCCCCTCCACAAACCCCGCCCTCTCCTGGATCCACCCCGAAAGTCTCTAGGTATTTCCCAACCCAGACCTGGCAACTCTACTTCACCACCTGTGGCAGCCATTTTGGGTTTGGCCCCACCTCCTGTGGCAGCCATTTTGGTTTCCGCTCCACCTCCTGTGGCAGCCATTTTGGGGGAGGTGCTCACCACCCCCTCTCCACATTCCAAAGGTGCCCGTGGCCTCAAAAAGGTTGGGGGTCCCCTGATGTAGGTTAGACTGACTGGGAAGGCTGATGGGGTGGAGGTGGAATTTGCAGAGCAACTTACGAGTTTGGGAGTGCTCACGGACCCAGCTCTGCTGTTTGAAAAGCAGGCCGGCACAGTGGCCAAGAGAGCTTGCTATCAGCTGCACCTGGTTCACCAGCTCTCCCCTTTCTTACACTCAACCACTCGGGCCATTCTAATCCGTGCGGGTGCAACCTCACAGCTGGACTACTGCACCTCACACTACATTGGGCTGCCCTTGGAGACAACTCAGCAACTGCAACTGGTTCAGAACTCGGCAACTCAACTACTGTCAGGGGCTGGGCGAAAGGAACACGTGTTTGCCTGTCTTAAAACAGCTTCATTTGGGCTGCTGGGCGGTCTCCGGTTTCAGTTCACTAAGTTGCTTTATACTCAATCAGACCGTCAGTCCATCAGAGTCAGTACGGTCTACTCAGACTGGCAATGGCTCTCCAGGGTCTCAGGTGGAGGTCTTTCCCTCACCTACTGCCTGGTTCTTTTTAAACTGGAGATGCCGGGGATTGAACCTGGGACCTTCTGCACACCAGGCAGAGGCTCTGTCACTGAGCCACAGACCCTAACCAAGATTCAGGGTGCTGGTTGTGACCTTTAAAGCCGTTCACTGTGGGACCCCGGCTGTCTCTTCCCAAATATCCCTTTGCAACAACTATGAGCTTCAGGCTTCACTTGCTATTCTCCCACTTTGGGGAGTCCACGCTGGTACTGATCAGAGCACCCTGAGAAGTGTGTTTGTGTGTGTGGGGGGGGAAATAAGAACGTAAAAGAAGACATGTTGGCCCATCCAGTCCAGCACTGTGTCACACAGTGGCCAAACCCCAGGTGCTGTCAGGAGGTCCTCCAGTAGGGCCGGAACTCCAGAGGTGTTTGGGAGGCACCAAAGAGCCATTTAAGTTGCTAGGGCTTTCAGTGGAGCATCGGCTACTGCTCCCTCTAAGCTACGGAGTCCTGTGAGCAAAAATTCTGCTTTGTGAGCTCCTGGCACTAAAGTTGTGAGCAGGTGGTTTGGCTACTGCATAAATTAGTTTGCTCCGGAGCCATCCTTCTTGAGCTGACAAAAAAAAAAGTGAGCCAGTTCACACTAATGCAGCTTAGAGGGAACACTGGCTACAGGCATTTTTACACAAAGGAAGGGAGTTACTTGGATATTTTAGTGTAAGGATGGAAGAAGAACCCTGCTGGGTCAGTCCAGTGAGGGTCCATCCAGCCCAGCATCCCGTCTCACACAGGGGCCAGCCAGTCCCTCTGGAGGGCCAGCAACAGGGCAGAGAGGCCGAGGCCTTCCCCTGAGAAGGACACCAGAAGAGCCCTGCTGGGTCAGACCAGGGAGGGTCCCTCTAGTCCAGCCTCCCGTCTCACACAGGGGCCAGCCAGTTCCTTTGGAGGACCAGCAACAGGGCATAGAGGCCGAGGCCTTCCCCTGATGTTGCCTCCTGGCTCTGGGATTAGTGCCTCTGAACGTGGCGGTTCCCCTCAGCCACCACAGGTAGTAGCCACTGATAGACTTGTCCGCCATGAATCTATCTAATCTGTTTTGAAACCTGTTTATTCCTGTGGGCATCACTCCATCCTCTGGCAACTGATTCTACCTTTCAATCACTCTCTGTGTCAAGTAGTATTTCCTTTTATCCGCCCTGAACCTACTGCCCATCAGCTTCCTTGGATGCCCTCCAGTTCTAGTCTTTTGGCAGCAGGAGAAACATTTCTGTCACCTCTCTCCACCGCATGCATAATTTTATAAACCTTATGTCCCCCTCCCCTCCCCTTAGTGATCTCTTTTCTAAACTCAAAAGTCCCATCGGACTCTTCGGCCTTTCCTCCTACGGAAGAGGCTCCAACCCCCTAATCATCTTGGTTGCCCCCCCGCTGTAGTCCTCCCCGCTCTAAAACGTCCTCCTGGAGATACGGTGACCAGAACTGTGCACAGTATTCGAAATGAGGCTGCACCGTCCATCTATACGAGGACATTACAATATCGGCTGTTTACCACGGGTAAACATACGGAGCAGAGGTCCCTCAGTGGCTCTTAGCCACAAGATATAGATAGGATCTCTCGGTCTGGGGCAAGGGATGCTCTGTATTCTTGGTGCTTGGGGGGGGGCAACAGTGGGAGGGCTTCTGGTGTCCTGGCCCCACTGCTGGACCTCCTGGTGGCCCCTGGTATTTCTGGCCACTGTGTGACACAGAGTGTTGGACTGGATGGGCCACTGGCCTGATCCAACATTGGCTTCTCTTATGTTCTTCTAAGAGGGGATTGGGTAAACATACGGAGCAGAGGTCCATCAGTGGCTATTAGCCACAAGATATAGATAGGAGCTCTCGGTCTGGGGCAAGGGATGGTCTGTCTTCTTGGTGCTTGGGGGGGGGCAACAGTGGGAGGGCTTCTGGTGTCCTGGCCCCACTGCTGGACCTCCTGAGGGCAACTGGTGTTTCTGGCCACCGTGTGACACAGAGTGTTCGACTGGATGGGCCATCGGCCTGATCCAACATGGGGTCTGCAGAGCATTATTGAGTCCAGGGGTCCCCCAACCCTTTTTGAGCCTGTGGGCACCTTTGGGATTTTGACACAGGGTGGCGGGTGCAACTACAAAATGGCTGCCACAGAAGGCGGGGCCGCAGACCCC